AGAGAGAGACTTGCTTGTGCTTAACTGGGTGTCGGCTCCCTGACACCACCAGCCTGTTAGCCACCCAAGCACGCTCCTCTGCACTATGCCAGCCCTTATGTGGCTTTGCAGCTTAACAATAGGTACACCCCAACCCCCGAGCCCTTTTAAGCATTCCCCTCTAGCATGCAGCCCTTTATCCCGCACCTGGAAAGTAAACAAATAGTGTGTTTACATTCATAAAATCGGGATCCCAACCAGCTGAGTGTGCTTTGTGGTAAGAGGTCACAAGGTGATTCACATTTCTGAGTGCCCCAAAAACCAACACACTGAGGCACAATGAAGGAGGTGCAGCGGGGTCATGATGCAGCCAGAACCCCCAGGAATCATCCAGCGTCTGCACATCAGCAGTGCAGCTTACTCTCCCTTTTAAGGCAGGCCAGACCTACTGCCTAATGTGCAGAAAAGGCAGGGTCATGACCTCAGCTCCTGGTGCACCCTTTCAGGTAGCTAGAATTAACATGAGCATTAATTCATAGATTAATTCATAGATACTAAGGTCAGAAGAGACCATTATGATCATCTAGTCCGACCTCCTGCACAACGCAGGCCACAGAATCTCACCCACCCACTCCTGCGAAAAACCTCTCACCTATGTCTGAGCTATTGAAATCCTCAAATAGTGGTTTAAAGACTTCAAGGAGCAGAGAATCCTCCAGCAAGTGACCCGTGCCCCATGCTACAGAGGAAGGCGAAAAACCTCCAGGGCCTCTTCCAATCTGCCCTGGAGGAAAATTCCTTCCCGACCCCAAATATGGTGATCAGCTGAACCCTGAGCATATGGGCAAGATTCACCTCAATTAATTACCAAAATCATGTTATCCCATCACACCATCTCCTCCATAAACTTATCGAGTTTAATCTTAAAGCCAGATAGATCTTTTGCCCCAACTGCTTCCCTTGGAAGGCTATTCCAAAACTTCACTCCTCTGATGGTTAGAAACCTTCATCTAATTTCAAGTCTAAACTTCCCAATGACCAGTTTATATCCATTTGTTCTTGTGTCCACATTGGTACTGAGCTTAAATAATTCCTCTCCCTCTCCGGTATTTATCCCTCTGATATATTTATAGAGAGCAATCATACCTCCCCTCAACCTGAAGCCAATTAAAGCACCTGAAGCCAGTCACCTGATAAAACCCCCCTGCTTCAATCAGACAAGGGAAGGAGTTGAAGCAGAGTGGATTGGTGTTGGAGCAGAGAGCAGTTTGGAGGAGTTGAAGCAGAGTGGATTGGTGTTGGAGCAGAGAACAGTTTAGAGGGAAGTAGAGGAGAGTTTGGAGAAGTGCTGCGGTGGGCTAAGAACACCAAGACCTAGGTAAAGGGACACCTGGTTTGTGCAGAGGGAGAGCATGAAGCCCCACAAGCTGAAGGGCAGGAGAGGGAAGTAGTCCAGGGGAAGGAACTGCTAGTTCAAGCAGTTTACCGCTATCCCTAGGGCCCCTGGGCTGGGACCTGGAGTAGAGGGCGGGCCTGGGTCCCTCCCTCTCCACTCCCATCCTCTAGGACATTAGAGGGAGGAGGCCCTGTACGCCCCAGTCAGATGACATATAGTCCTTACTCAAGGATGGAATATTCTCATGGCATGTAATTGTCATCCATTTTATGATATGGTATGATGATAGGCTGTTAATCTGATCACTGGATTGCTAGTCTTTATATGTAAATCTATCCCCTATAGTATGTTAGTGGATCTATCTATCCGGCTATCCAGGTATTTCCAATGCTGCCATCACTGACGTAGCTGAGCACTAGTAAATGGCCATATCCATTTCTAGTGGAACTCTACTAAAATGAGTGGAGGTACAGCAATGATGGATTTACCTCTGTGTGTATACTGCACAATGGATCTGACAAAGTGGATACAAATCTTATACAAAGAACAGTCTTATAGAAAGAGAGGATAAAATATACTCTGACCACAGAGAAGGGTATGCAGTAGAATATCACATACTCTATCAGCTTTAAGCAAATGTGCACTGAATTAAGAGTATACCCGATGCCTTATTTTTTTTGTCTTTGTTTTCTATTCTTTCTCACCATAACTATCTTTAGTAAACACAGAAAATAGGGTTCATTATACTGCATAATAGATTTATTTTATTCCTTGTCTGTTAGGCTTTATGGCTCTATCACAAAGTGCAGCCAAGAATAGAAATGGTTTCCTCTCATTGAGGAGTGAATCTGCCAGAAGTTATTGCTATAGGAAATCTAAGTCACATTGGATTACCACCTGGCACTATCAAAGCTAAAGCACTGTCAACTTTAAAGCAAGAAAAAATTATCAGATTAGTATCACCTTATAACATATATTGCGGACTGTTTTCACTAAGAAAGCATTTACTTTCCTTCTTGTAATAAAGAGAGATATATGAATGAATACATAAAATGACGATAAAATAAAGTTCAAACCTGCAATTTAAATAGGGATTTGTTGAATAACTGAACATCTCCTAGTCAGAAAATGGTTGGAGCTGGAATGTTGCAGAGAAAGGACCTGAATCTCAAAGCTCAAGAGTGCCTGGATTTGGGATTTTGGTTCATTTCCTAATAAGGATGGGCCACCAGCTACATATTAGGACTCCAGTGTACATTTTCCAAAACGTGGGTCTTTTGATCTGGGCTGATTTCTCCAGCTGATGAGCATTTGCAAGGTGACTGAATCAACTTCGAAAACTCTGAGTCACTAAACATGAAAGGTACTCTTGTAAAGGAGAGGTCTCTGAGATGTGGGGGAATGCTTATAAAATCCATGGTGGAATGTGAACCCTTTTTACATATTCTTTATGGATACTTAACTTATTTAGATTTTGATTTGTTGAGAAATATTAATGCATAAAAGTGCCAATCCAATATATATATATATATAGAGAGAGAGAGTGTGTGTTATATATATATATATAGTGTGTGTGTATATATATATATATATATGTGTGTGTATATAGGTGTGTGTATATATATATATATATATATATATATATATATATATATATATATAGTAGCCATGAGTGTTGAAAGTAATTACTTACAATTGGTTGCAAGTTTTTAAACAACCACCAAATCATGTGCTCATCAGAGATTAATTCCTGCAGTTTCGTCAAGATGTCTGCACTTGACTGAAACTGAGGACCAGTGTCTGCATTCTCTAGATGCTCAGCATGCCCTTTGTTTATTTGGACCTTGTCTTCCTGGCAGACAGACAAGCTGTTTGAACGATGTGGGGAATTTAAGAAAGGAACGTTTGTGTGGGTGTTTCAGTGCATTCTGGGAGCTTACATAGCTCAAAGGCTGTTGTGAGGGCACTCATAACACAGGTTCTTGCTACCTTATAGGCTGATAGGAATGCCTTTATAACGGATGTTTGCTTTGTTCTCCACTCATTGGCTCTCCATGGGTTTCCTCTGTGCAATACAAGCACTACCTATCTTAGTCCTAACGGTTTTGGCTCTCATGCCGTGATTTTCCCAGCCATCAACCTGAATTTTAAGAAGTCTTCTCTACCGTACTGGAAACCCACCTCTATTATGATGCACTGGAGCATGGGAGAATTGTTTCCTTATTTTTTTCTTCTGTGGGATCCTCCAAATAGGATTGTACACTGCTTGAATAGTTTTCAGAGAGGACATGTTTAACCTATGGGAGTTGTAGCTATTCTCTTTATGTTAAGGGCTGATGTTGTTATTGTTTATTTTAAATAACCCCTGCAGGATGATCAGCAGGTATATTTAAATAAATGGCAAAAATAATTAGCAAGCAGCTGTATTCTGTACTAACTACGGATACTGAGTCCCTCATAGTCTCACTGAACCAGTGCAATCTGGCAAAATGCTGCTACAGAACATTTTTCACTCAATAACCCAAATTCATCTCCAATAAAACTCAGTTGAAATCAATGGAGTTACACAACAGGTGGATGTGGCCCATTGATGTGCCCAATTATGCTGAGGTCAAAGGTATTCTCATTGCTCCCAAATGTTTATTGGCTGCTACTACTGTTGCTACTACTGGTGTCTTAGCTGCACCACTGTAAACCTGGAGTAACTCCTCTGAAGGAAGTGAAGCCACTCCAGATTTATAGAAGTGTAACTGAGACTGAAATGTGTTTCATAATAATTTGGGTGAGGAGAGCTATGTCCTGCAAATCATTTATTTATTATTACTGTATATTTGTGCTAAGAATACTTACTGGGTGTTTACATGAGTTTTGAAACAGCAAAAGTTGTAAAGAAGCCTATGTTTTTTTCTGGACTGGGGAGAACAAGTGATTTAGAAGGAAAAAAGATGTGTGAAAATTATGACCAGATTTAAAATTGGCTCTTTACAGATCAAGAATAATTTCCCCAAGGCTCAGGATGTTAGGACCATTTCCTTTTTATTAGATTCTCTGCCCTCCCAGAGAAGAAAATCTTACCCTCTTCCCATGGGTACAAAACTTTGAGGACAAGCTGGTTGACAGTGTCCTTCAACATTGTTACCCCCTCCCCCCCCACTCTGTGCCAGCTCTTGTTAAACCCTTTAGATTAATAAAGTGTTAATTTAGCCATTCAAGTGATGATTGTGCTGAGCCACTGGACTTGTGATGTTGCTGAGACATAATAAAAATCTATAGTCCAATATTTTTGTATTTATTTTATCTACTGTAATCTTGACAGCATGAGTAGAGATTAGATTCATTGCTGACAATATCAGATGAGCAAAAATAGTTACTGTAGGTGGGTTCTCTTATGTTTAAGTGGAATGTGTGTGGTCACAGTATATCTATTTCTAATTTTAGTATTGTTATTTTGTGATTTGTGTTGTTTATAAGATTTTTCTACTGTAGATATTGTAAAGATTGAAAGAACACACATTGTATGTTGAAAAGAATAACAACACGTGGGACTCATGTTTGGAGTGTAGTAATTTTTTATTTAAGAAAACAGATACAGAAGTAATCATTTGAATTGAGTCTGTGCATGATTCATGACTCATGATATGCCTTTTCATTAGAGATGCGACTGATCCTACTACCATTGCAAAACTCCAACTAACTTCACTAGGAGCAGGACTGAGCCACCTGGTTTTACTGCTACTGTGAGAATAATCAGTAGATGTTTAATAACCTGAAGAGGGACACAGCACAGTAGAAAATATTATGGCCTAAATGGACCTCTTCGCTTCCACAAGTGAAGTGGACTGAAATCCATTATATCAGTCATGGAGGGAGGGAAGACTTGCAAGGGGGGCTGGGTGAGCCTGGCAGAGTGTCCATTCCTCTTTGGAACTGCACAGAAATCCCTCATCTGACTGCTTGGTCTCTGTATGTAACTGACTCCACAGGGTTTTAGGGATAAGAGGGGAGAGCAGGGGCTCAGGCATTCTCTGTGTCACTGTCCTATGAAAATGACCATTTGTAAATACCAATTGGGAGTTATTGAAGATGCACTATTTTCGGCAGACTCCCCTCCATGGCTGCTACCGCACATCCGAAGAGGTGACTTAGCTGTGAGGTTATGAGTTTGACCTGTTGTTTCCAATGGTCTACTTGTAACTAGATAGCTGCCAAAGATTTCAGCTTTATGCCTGATCTGAAGGACGCAGCTGCACGCATGTAGAGATTTTTTTTTTTCACAATAGACATCATGATCAGGAGTCTGAAGGACTAAAGCTCTGTGAAATTTTATATGAAGAGTTAGGCCATCCCATCTTTCCTGAAGAACAAAAAGCATCACTCATGCTTTGTTGTGTCATTGCAGTACTCACCTCTTGGTGTCACCTGCTGTAGAGTGAAACTGACAGCGCTAGTATCAAGAAGCACGAGAAGAGCTGGGCAAATAATTCTTAATTAATCCTTTATTCTGTTTCTGAATTGTTCGCTAATGAAACACTGTTTTCTCCAGGTTATTAGTTATTCAAATTATTCACTGTATGCAGGGGGCTGTAACGGGTTTAAATAGTTATTGACAACCAGCATTCCCATTCTAAATGAAACAGGTTATGATATCCAAAACTGGGTATGATCTAGTATTTGTATTCTAGGAGTTAGACTAGGGAACTTTGAATCAAGACTCCCAGATTATTTTCCTGGTTCTTTTATAGACTTAGATGCTGCACGGCTTAGGCAAATCACTTAGGTCAAAATTTCTGATTTGAGAACCAATATTTTAAAATGTAGGTGCATAACATTAGACTCAAAACACCATCTTTAGGCAGCTATATAGTATCTCAGAGTTGCTTAGTTCCTATAGTTCCTTTTGATTTCAGTGGGAGCTATGGGTGCTCAGTAGCTCTAAGAATCAAGCCACTTGTTTAGGTGTCTGAATATGTATTTTGATACCAATCTTTAGGCTCCCCAGTTTGAAACTATTGGCAGAATGCTGGAAATGTTGACTTAATTACACAGCATTAAGCCAGTGACAGGCCAGGAAAAGGACCTACAAATAAGTTTCCCATCCATAAAATGAGGGTAACTCCTTCCTACCTCACTGGAGCAAATTTGTATTGTTATCAGAGCTGTCACACTGGCCTGTGGCAGCAAGTTTTCCCAATATCTAACGCTATGTAAAGCACTCTGAGTTACTTTGTGTATATAGCCAACCATTCAGATACACTTTAGGGAAATTCTTCTGAAGGCCAAAACCCTTCAAGAATATGGAAATTGCTAAGTCTCCTTTCAAATGGAAATATGCCCAACAAAGGTGGTCATTCAAGACTTCCAGCTGCTCAGCGTGTATATTACACCATCTTGGACTCCTTTTCATTCTTATATATTGGCAAGGAGATTTTGAGAGTCTGAGGATGAGAGTCTATCCTACAGCACCTTACACAGCCCATGGGCTGAAATGGCTTCTTTTTTTTTTCCCAAGGAAAAAAAAGCATTAGGGTGAATATGAGCAAAGCCCCTTCAGCTCCCAAATACTTATCTAATTGTTTGTGGTTTTCTTACTGGAGTCTGCAGCCTAATGGACATTCTCAGACATGTTAATGAGTCATCTGTCGTAGAAGGAGTCAGAGATGGAGCCTGCCCATTGGCCTGTTCAGTTGGAAGCTGATACTGGTTGCTATTTTAATCAGCAGCAGAAGTGTCAGTGTATCTGCAACATTTGTAAAGATGGTTGAGGAAGGGACAGAAGTTGAAGAAAAAATATTCTTCTCCTCCCCCCCGTCGAATGCTGGATTTGCAGTGTTTACAAACAGCTGTTACAACAGCCCCAAGCTCCAAAGAAAAATGTGACACATCTAAGAATCTGACAGTCAAACCCTAGCATTTGTTCAGATGGGTCCCTTCTATGGTTTGGGGTAACAGGAGCCATGGTAGCAATGGTATTTGTCACTGTAGCAGCTGTGTGGATGGTAGTGGTAATAACTATGTGATTACTTGCTGTACTCTTGCTGCAGCTAGCAGCAAGTAAGAATCCAGGCAGCCTTGGCAGGCAGCCTATGACAAGGGGAGCAGAGGTGGCAGTGAGCATGCCCTGTGGCAAAAATGGAGGCAGCAGTGCTGCACATGGCAACCCAGGCAGAGGAGGCAATAGCACTGTTTGTGAAAACCTGCGCTGTGGCGGCTACCGCGCTTCCTGCCTCAGTCGGTCCTTTCGACAAACCACAGCTCCACACTGGCTGCCTAGGCATCTGGTTTCTCATTGCTGAGTCTTCACTGTCCATGCACTGGGCAGCTCTCTGTTTGTGACAATCTGCAGCGAGAATAGAGATCGGAATCTCTGCCGGGGAAAAAAGAAGGAAGGGATAGGAATAGAAACAAGAAAGGAAATGCATAAATGAGAGAACTTGAGTTTTCAACCGCGCTAACATACAGCCACAAAACAACAGGAGAAGAAGCTGATTGGGCACCTCCTAAATTGTTTTTCAAGGAAAATAAACTATACAGATGAGCAGTACAAGGTGCACCCATAACAACGAGCCACCTGTTTCATTAAGAAAATGTTCCAAAACAACTGAGCAGTGTTCAGATACATGGTGACCTTGAGAGCACAGAACACCCTAGGAAAAGAAGTGGATTAAAAAAACCTCAGAACTTTCTTGGATGCTCCCAGCAGCAGCTATTGAATCCAATCTTAAGGCTCTTGTGCTATATAAGCTGTTATCCTTATGCTCTCTATAAGTGAACTAGTAGCAAAGACATAGAATTTGCTCAGAAAAATATGCAGAAATTAGTGTACCGCAGGTGGTGGGATCTTTTTTGTGAAATAGGCTTTTCATATACAGTCCTTAGGTCACCTGCTCTATATAGAATTGATGCTCTATGTTTGCAATACCACAGAAACCCTATAGCTTTTATGACAAGTGTAAAGAAGATGCCTCACATTTTTTACATAAGCCAGGTTTAAGGCAAATAGATGTCAGGACTCAGGAATATTTTCTCTTTTTATCCAGTTAAACTTTACAGGTTTTAGCAATGCTGCTGAATGCTTTTGAGAAGCTTTGGAATTCACAAGTTCATACAATTCACAGAGCATCTGTTGTGAAATATGAAGAGCTCGTTACTTCCAACTTAAATGACTAAGTCTTCCATTATTAAAAATCAATCCCTCATTATGAAAAAGAAAACCCAGAATAGTAGGCATACAGGGTAGTATAGAAAAATGCATACAGATAGTAATGGTCCTTCTGCTCTTCTCCCTTTCCATTTCTTAGTAAGTCCACTAGGGGCTTCTTCATGTAAATATAGGGGGCAATTTTCAAAGGTACATAAACGGTGCCTAACTCCCATTGATTTCCAGGTACCTAACTCCACTGGAAATCAATGGGAGTTAGACACCGTTTATGCTTTTGAAAATTGACCTGGAAAGTATTTAGATGGGAACCACCAAAACCCCTGAGATAGATGGAGTGTACAAAGAAAGCAAAGAGGTGAAATTCATTGGCCAACTGAGGGCAGTTATTGGCAGGAGAAGATTTATGGAGAGCCCTGAAATTGAAGGCAAGATCAACGAGTTTGTGCTTAGTGAGGAGGGTAAGACCTAATAAAATTTGCATGTTCAGTTGAGTTTGGAGTTCATTCAGACCCCCCATAGACAGAAAATGAAGAAAAGGTTTGTATGATCTGAAACCAGCATAAACTTCACACAGCACTAGTTTCAATACCCTGAGATAAACCTCTTTGGTTGCCAAAGCTGTCTCTCAGTAATGACTAGCTCTTGTAGCATGCTTTTCATCAGTAGGTCTCAGAGCACATTACAAAGGAGGTCAGTATAAGTATTCCTATTTTATAAATGGGGAAACTGAGACACAGAGCGGTGACGTGACTTGCCCAAGGTCACCTGGCAAACCAAGAGACAGGTCTTCTGCACCCCATCGAGTGCTCTATCCACCAGACTGGCTTACATCTGTGAAGCACCTCCCAAGCTTTACCTAGTTCATCCTACTAATAAATCTGTGCACTAAAAGAGGTGACATTATTCTCATTTGCATATGGAGAAAAAGACAAAGGGAAGTTAAGAGACTTGTCCAAGACCAAAGAGCAGGTCAGTGACAGGCAAAATTAGAGCTCAGGCACTGCTGATTTACCATCCCAGGCTCAGTCCAACAGACCATACTACCAATGGACATGGAGGATTAAGGATCAAAAAAGGCTTCACTCACAGTATGTTTCTTTCTTTCTTTCTTTCTTTCTTTCTTTCTACTGCTGCCAAATCACCTTTTAGCCACGCTAAAGAAAGGCATGCCATCCTGACTCTTGAGGTGGTGACAGGCCCTAAAGTGCCGATTTAGCATGGCAAGGAGAAAATGGCCTGCATACATTGTTACTGTAAAAAGCCTTGCAAATGTGTGATAAAAGGGTAAGAGAACGGAGGAATGAGAAGAAAAGCATAAGGGATGACAAGACAAGAGAAAGGAAGAGAAGCCAAAAGGAAAATAAAAAAGAGGTAGAAATATTAGATTGAAGAATTGGGGAAGCACCTGGGGAGAAGGAATGCAAGTCTGACTGATTCTGCATCACTTCCCTTGAAGCAGAACCTCTTGAGAGGTTCAGAAAAATGGAAGCATCTTATCACTCCAAGAAACAAAGCAAAATGATGTTTCCAAATTAATAGAAATTGTTTGCACTTCTGTGTGGTGGATTTGTTCCCTTGATGTACCAAATGACTAACACCTTGGGGTGGAGAATTTTCCTTAATGTTTCACTGTGAGTTTTATGTCTATGCATAGGGTGAATCACAGTGCCCTATAATTACTAAAGCTTGTAATAGTGAATTTGTAGCATTTGCCTCTATTCCAAAATACAATTTTAAGTGTGAGCCCCTATGCCTCATTAGATGTCTCATATCTTCACTGACTAAGCCCAGGTACCTACATCAGACCATGGTTGGTTTCAAATGCATATTCTGTGCTCATGAGACAAGCATTATACTCCTAGGTGTGTGTACTTTGTTTTGTTTTGTATTGCTTTCTAAGTTGTCATGGTTATCATTTGACACTCTTTCTAAATTCTCTTTTTATTTAACAACTCTCTTTTTCTACCCTGCATAAACAGGCTGTTTGAAACTCAGATTTCAAAAAATGGAAATGTTTGTGAGCAAAGAGAAATGTTCACAAGGGGGAGAAAGACATTTTTGACCAACAAAATAACACAGACTAATAGACTGTGTATGGTGACCAGAATGTCACTATATTTAAGATGTCTGACCTATACCTGCCTCATATAATGGTCACTCTGAAAAGGAGTTGACCACTAAGTATGAAGCTGGGTTTTTTTCATTGTGGTTAGTCTTTCATTTTTTTCCCTCCCCTTGAAGAAAAAAATAGGAAAGAATCTGGAGAGATAGGAAGTAAGCTAGAGGGACAATTTAAACACAAACACACGCACGCATACACATAAGAGATTTCAAAAATAGAATAGCAGGAGGATTCATAAACAGTTCCTTGAAAATGCATGCTACCTTTGCTTACAAAAACATTCTGTCGCTCACACAAGCATCCTGAGTACAGAGCGCTTCAGATATGTCATTAGAAGGTGTGTTGGTGTGGTGACTGTCTATAAAACTTGGCTCCAACACAGGTCAGCCCGACTCCTCTCCCTGTTAGCTCAGCAATTTCCCAGTGGTCAGCCTGTCTTGCCATAATCACATGCTGGCGCCACAAGCGTGTTTCTTAACTGTACACTGTACCTTGTAATGAATGCATACTAAAATATACTAAACCGCTCCGATTCTGGAGCAGCCATGACCTCAGACTCAACAGCTCAACACCATATTTGCTTATATAGTATACCTGATAAAAAAGATGCCGGCTGTAATGAATGAAGCACTTTCTGTCTCTTTCTCTCTCTCTGTTAAATTTTATGGTATATGGAGTATGAATTATTTCACTTTCATGCCATTCTCCAAATGGCTTTAAATTGCAAGCTTCCTTGGATTGCCACTAGTTACGGAATGATCTACCTGAAACACAATGGGCCAGAACTGCTGAAGTACCTAGAGGTAGAAGTTTATGGAAGGACACTTCTTTTAGGATAAGGAGAGAGACTTCTATTCTCCTGCACACCCACCCCTGTCTCTCACCTGGAAACTCAACCTGAATCCATCCAGGAATGAGTTACATTAAATTAGGCAGAAACTAGCCTGCCCTGTCAGTCTTGACTAGGACTCATAAATAAACCTGTGTGAGCTTTGAAGACCCACCCCCAATGTAAATTAACGATGCCTTTTCATTTCACAAAGGCTCAAAAAACACAAGCTTCATTCAAGCTCAGCAGGACTCTTTTTTCTCTCGCTTTTATGGTATCAAGTAAGACAAGCCACAATATCAGATCCTGATATGATATGCAATGATTTTTTTTTTCAGAAGCCACAAAAACAACACATAAAACCCAGCAATGATAGTCAAGCCAACCGAGATAAGATTCAGGTAGATTGCTGCAGCTGTTCTGTCATGTTTTACGTGCATCTAACAGGAGCAAGCTTTGAACCCAATTTTCAAAGTATTTCTTTTTTCTTTCCCTCAGCCACATGACTGTAAAAGAGTCATAATTCACAAGACGAGGTTCTTAAAAGCACCTTGCATTCTGGTAATATTAGCTAGAGCAGCTGTTATCGTAATCCTGCTAGAGCAGCAGCTATTTGTCATCATTTAAAAAAAAATGTTTGAGTCTTCACAAAACTGCCTGCACAGTATATTTTACATAATAATTTTATCTGGTTCTGATGAAATACTTCAAATGCAGGTATAAAGTTTTCTTAGAGTCATTTTTAGAGTAATTTTCTGAGTTATTTAGAATCCTTTGATGGGGTATTGCAGAGTGAGGCTTTGCAGGGAGTCTTGCTGGGTGGGGACTGGGTGTGGTTCCACCCAATTTGTCCTGGAAATGGAGATTTGGCACAATGTTTCACTCTGAATTCTAGACAATTGCCAAACCTCTTACAACATTCAAAACCAAGGCTTTTCTTTTTCCATTTTCCTGGTATGCATAAACAAATATAGTTTTAATTATATGGCATGAAAATCTTTTATGAAATTGGTGGCAGATAGTGTCACCTAGTGGCTAGAGCATTGGACTGGGACTCAGGAGCCTGGGGGTCTAGTCCCAGCTCTGCCACTGGTCTGCTGAGTGATCTTGGGCAACTCACTTCCCCTCTTTGTGTTTCAGCTTCCCCATCTGTAAAATGGGGATAAGGATACTGACCTTCCTTTGTAAAACCCTTTGAGATCTATTGATGAAAAGCACTACATAAGAACTAGGGATTATTGCAAGTAGAAATTA